GGGGGAGGGGGGGGGTCAGGAGTTGTTCCAGCATCAAAGACATTGCAGTATTTCCAAGAGCTATCAGGCAGGGTGGGGGTGACAGGTTTCAGAGATTTACTCAAGTGAAAATCTGCACACACAAGCCAGAGCAGGCATGAGGGGCGCCTGCCCTACACATTACTTCATCACAGTCTAACCCTGGCACACTGAAGGCTTACAGCTTGACAAAGTGGCTGGTGGTTGGGCTGCTTTCTGGAATCCACACCCACTGGAAGCCTTGGAGTGTGAAGACAGAGTCAGCCCAAGGACAGCCCCTGCTGTAATGGGAGACATGCTTTCCACACTACCTGTCCATTCTGGCTCTTGGCCCTGGGCTTTGCTTGGTGACATTGTAAGGATTCAGTCCTTAATTACATCATCAGCCTGAGATGGCGTACCAGCCTAAAAAGTGGGTGGGCCCTCTGTGCGTCTCTCCTTCCTTTCTGTTCCCTCCTTTTGTCTGTCCTCTCTCTCCCTCTTTCTCTCTCTCCTTCTTTCTCCCTCTCTTCCCCCCACCTCTCCCAATAAAGCCCTAAAAAGGTAACTATGGCTCATGTCTCTCCTCCAGCACTCTCCTCCATCAGCATGGCCTCCACAGGTGGTGGCCAGGCATGAGCAGCAAGCAGGGTAACCAACATTGGTGCCATTCGGACTCGGATACACCACCAAGCACCGAGGACCTGCTGTGACCGCTGCCACCTGCCACCTCTTCCCCCATCCAGGGAGACTGGGAGACAGTGAGACCGCGAGACTGTGAGTGCCACCTCCACTGGACCCCCACACAACTACCACTACCATCACCACAGTGAGTCCGCCATTCTCACAGCTGTAGTCTAAGCTATATTCTTTGTGACGGACACCCTGGGGGTTGTTCCCGGGCTGTACTGGCAATGGCAGGCACGTTTTTGCTCCTGATGAGGAGGTAAATGGTGTCTAGGGTTCAATGGTGGACCAACTGCAGTACAGTCGCAGCCCTCACGATCCCTTGACGAAGAGGACTCGTGACTTGAGCTGATTCGTAGATCTCTCTCCACTCTCGGGGGCCAGTCTGATTCTGGTTTGTTATTTTAATTTTTTATTTTTCTCTCGGCTACAGCTATGAGACAAAGGGGCAGACACATTTACCACCTACACTGGTGGATGGGGCAGGCACCAGTAAATCTGGCCGCATAACAGCATCGTGTGAAATTCTGCCAGTGAACAGGCAAATAAGAGTTACTTTATCTCCAAGCTTTCTGCTAACGTTCTAAATCCTTCTCCATCCCCACTTCTGCATCTGCCATGTGCAACCTTTTCTGTCTGACTTCCGCTAGCAGTGGGCGGGCTCAAATGGGCGGGTTTGGGCGGTTTCTACGACTCGCCCTAACTCACCTTAACTCCACCCACTCATGCCAAGATGCATGGGTACATTAAGCTAAGACCTCCAACAGACCTATTCTTGGCTACAGACATGGCAGGGAACCCAGAACACAGCAGGGAAGTGATCTGTTTCTTTCCTTCTGGACACCAGAGCCACTGACTCAGTCCTGGGAGTTTTGGGATGCCACCTCTCCTTTATTGTTGGATACAGAGGATAGCCTTACCACCTCACCAGATTTAATTGCACTTCCAGAGTTACTTAATTAAAAAAAAAAAGATTTCCACTTAAAATAAGAGCTCATTGTTTCACTCCAGATCCACTGCCTATGTTTCTCATGTGCATACAGACAGGGCCCTGATCTTTAACTTGTTCCTAATTCCAAAAAAAAAATAAACTCTCATGCATCACAAGCTTTTCTCTTCCCAGTTCCCTTGTTCTAACTCACTGTTCAGCTAATGGTACAGGACCACCACAGAACCGGAGTCCAGAGATCATCACATGAGAAACTATAACAACTAAAGGTATTTACACCCCCAAACCCAAAAGCATCTGGGTGCTACAAAAAAAGACTTTAATGTAAACATCTATTACTGTGAGATGCTTTTAACAATTGATCACCTGTCTCCTGGATGCCAAACTAGTAAAGGAAACAGGTGCTTTAAAATAATCTGTGTCTGATAAAGCTTAACATGTTTCAAAATCCATAGTGACAGGCTGGATCTACCTCAGATAAATGTCAACATAAAATAATAATGATTCTTTTATCTCTCTAAGTTTTTTTCTGTGTCACTAGCATCTTGTCAAACAGAAAGTTCCCAGCCACAGCCAAGAGGGATACATGTCTCCAGAGCAAACAGGTAACAGACAGCATCCCATATTGCCTGTCTACCTTAGAAGACTCAAGAGGCAACCGACGGCCAATTGTCAGCTGGAAGCAGTTTTTGAGAGGAACAATGCCCCTATTCCCATCTACCTGCTTTTTTTATAATAAAAAAAGTCTGGGATGTAAGGATTTGGTTCTTAATTGCATCATCAGCCTGTAACGGGATCCAGCCTAAAAAGCAAGTGGGCCCTCTGTGTGTCCCTCTCTTTTCTTTATGCTCCTTCCTTCTGTCTGTCCTCTCTCTCCCTCTCTTCCCCCTCCTTCCCCCTCTCTCTCCCTCCTTCTCTCCCCCCCCCACCAATAAACCTCTAAAAAGGTAACCATGGCTGTGATTCTTCCAATCACCACTCTCCTCTGCCAGCATGGCCGCTGCAGGTGGTGGCCAGCCACGAGGAACAGCGCGCCATTTAATCAACAGACATGGGTGCCACTTAACCCCCATGTGGATAGGTTTCCAGTGGTTGAGTGGTGACTGTCACCAAAATACCTTTGATGCAGACACAAGGGCAAGGTCTCCTGGTTTAATCCTTTCTCACAGTCACAGAGGCCATGCTGGGTCCTGAAAGTGGAGCCAGGTCCCTGTGGACTTTGGAGGAAACTTGACAGGAGTTTGTTACTGTTAATGTTTGGGTTTGTGTGGTCAGTCTTGGGGCCAAACCTGTGACCTTCACATGCTGGGCAAGGGCTCTGCCACAGCAGTGGAGCATTTCCAAATCCAAACAAACTCCTGAATTCTCCCAAACCTGGAGCTTTCTGAGCCATTCACATGATGCCACAGATGGAAGATTCCTCCTGTGGCATCATGGAATGGATTGCCACCAACAGAGACACAGTGCAAATGTTGCAGGGGGTCTTCCTTGGGCTCTGAGGGTAGGAGGGCTGACTGATGAACGGCAGGGCCAATGTAGGAGATTTTTGGATTATAGTTGTGTCTAATCTTCAACAACATGACTGGTTTGTGGGGTTTGTTTGTTTGTTTGTTTTGCAGAGGCAGGCTAGCCTGGAACTTGCAGTCTTCCATCCTCCTGCCTCAGTTTCCCCCCAAGTGCTTGGATCACAGTCATGTATTCCTAGGCCCAGTTCTTGTGTATGTGTATTTGTAAATGTTCAAACATTCAAATCTATCCAAAATCTAAAATGACAGTGGTTCCAGATGTTTCGCACAAAGAATTCTTTACCTTTGGAAATCTAGGAGGTACTGTGGGGTGTCTTTCTGTATGCTGTGAATATGTGTCACTCTGATTGGTTGATTAAAAAAAGCTGCATTGGTCTATGGCAAGGCAGCATAGAGGCAGGTGGGAAATCCACAGGGAGAGACAGGAAAGAGAAAGGCAGAGAGAGAGATGCTAGCCTGCTTCCCAAGGAACAACATGCCAGAAGACCAGTAAGCCACAGAACATGTGGCAAAATACAGCTTAATAGAATGGGTTAATTTCAGCTATAAAAGCTAGGTAACAAGAGGCCTGCCATAGATCATACAGTTTGTAAATAATGTAAGCCTCTGTTTGTTTACTTGGGTCTAAGTAGGAGCCGGAACACAGGTGAGAGAGATTTGAATGTACCACAGTGGAGGTGGGGGGGGGGGGTTGATAGGAGGGCAGACTAGACCTAAGAACACTTTCAACATCAAGGAGGCAGTGTTTTTTGAGTAGCTACTTCATTCCCACCCTGAGGATCAGACCCAAAAAGCAGCCTGTGTGAGATGGAGAGTCCCATGGTCTGATGTCCCTGGTGGGGGTTCCTATGCAGTGGAGCTGACTTGGGCTGTACTATAAGGCCAGTGAAACTGACTCAGATCCTGACACTAGATCCCTGATGATCTTACCACCCCTGGGGCCTTAGAGGCTCCAACCACGGGGCCTTAATGGATCTTCACTCTTAGCTTGTAAGTGAACTGCCCTTCAAAGCAGATCACTCTGAGGTAGGAGGATTGGGAGCATAAGGCCAATCTGGGCTCCATAGGGAGACCTTGTTTTTATTTATTTGTTTATTTATTTATTTATGAAGTGGTTCAGTGCTTTCCTGCCCTCTCTGGGGAGATCTGGGACTGGAATAAGACTCAGTTGTCTCACAAATTTAAGTAGCAGGCAGGATGCTGGTGCCTTCATGTGGCTCTGCTCCTGGGGCCTAGTGAGAGGTGGTCTGTGGAAATTTTAGAGAGGACCATGGAGATGTCTGTTCTGTGCATGAGACCTGCCTGCTTCCCAGGTCTCATTATCACTGCCTAGGGGGCCAGCCTCCAAGCATCACAGGGCTCAAAGGGAATCCATGGAGTCAGCGTATACTAGACTTTTCTATCTGCTGGGGTTAAGGGAAAACACACACATTCTCTTGATGGTTTCCTTCTTTATTCTCTATTTTTCTCCATTCTTTCTATGTTCTTTTCTTCTGTTCTTTCTGCTGCATACTTTTTTTTCTACAGCTTCTATACCCCAACAATGTTTCTCAGGCAATGTAGGAATTATAATGTGGTTACATTCTATTTTTCAAGTGAATGATAACAATGAATACAAAACAAATGGTAAAAAACAGCATGGTTCCTATATGCCTTACATGATTAAATATTTTACATATTACAGGTGAAAAACAAGTTATCCAAAGAATCCACATACGTTCATACCCAAGCAATTTATTTTAGATTAACTGTGTGGGCAAGCAAGGTATTCTTCTCAGTCAGATCTTTTACATGGCAGGCTGCATTTTGCAGTTACAAAGAAAGGGCCAATTACTTTACTGCTTATCTTGAAAGGTAATCTTATAAAGAATCTTAACGGAATCACAAATCTAAACTTTTATATATGAAAAAGAATCAGTCAGTTCTACCTTAAATCTTTAGGGTATATACCCACTCATCTATAATTTTTTATATCAGAAGATTGAGAACAAAAATGAGTATAATGAATAAACCATCACCTTAATCATCAACCAACCAAGCAAGGAAAGTATATCAGCTAGTAACAATTGGGCCGCTTTGTATTTTTGACCTCAGCTGTGTGTTCTTGTGAGCTTTAGATTGTTTTCTAGGGTTTTCACCTCAAAAATATTATCAAAACATTTGATCTAACCTGAAGTTATTTTAAAGCCTTGTTTCAGCTAATTATACACACCAAAACCTGTGACTACATCTTTCAGCATTAAGATTAAAGGAATTTAAGCCAGCCTGGCTCCTGGGACTCAGTTGTTTTTCTTAATTATTAACTTGAGCTATAGCCTATGCAGCTCCAGAGGTGAAACTCTTAGGCCCTGGCTGTAGAACATTTCCTGTATTTATTTATTTATTTATTTATTTATTTATTTATTTATTTATTTATTTATTTATTAGAAAGTTCAAAACACTTGTGTTTTATTGAAAATAAAATACAGAAAAACCAGATTCTCATTCTTAAAGTAAAATGGACATCATCATCCAGAACATTCTTAGTACTGTACCATTCTTGTCACTATTAAAGTCAAGGTCCAGATGCAGAACAGCAAATGAACCTGCTAGTTAATGTTCCCCTGTGGTTATTCGAAGTCCTGTCCTACTTGTTCTTAAATTTTACATTTTTATCTTTTCAAGAATGAGCAGTTTTTAACCAATTTAAATTATGAGAACTGGATTCTCATATTATTTCTTCATATTAAGAACAACAGCAAAAAAAAAAACAAAAACAAAACAAAACAAAAAAAACCAACCAACCCCCAAACCAAGAACCCAAAAAGAAACAAAACAAACCCCCTCAACTCAAACTCAGAGAAACACACATTTGTTCAATGAAGCTCACCTGCTTTAGATAATTGCTGACCTTAACACATTAGCTTACTGAGCCAATGTTTGATCCATGCTTCAAAACTATATAAGACAAAAAGACCTATTAATTTCTTAGGAAAACCTTAAGGCAAAGCAAAAGCCTTATGCTAGAAAAGAAAACGGAACGCAGAGGCATTGGGGCTGTGGAGACAGTCAGATGAGTCAGCACCACAAGGATGAAGACGATTTTTGTACAAACATGTGCAAGAAGATAAAGTCCAAAAAGGAGCATGAACATCAACTTTCCTGCAGAAATAAGGATTATGTCAGATAAAGACTCCTGAAAAGTCTGTTTGCATCTTCGTTAAAAGCCACCTCTGTTCTCCAGTGGTTACCAAATGCATCAAAGCAGTTTCGGGCCTTTGAGAAGAGGCAGTCCTGGTATTCTGTGCCCTTTGGAAAGGTGCCACTTCCTTCCCACTCACACTGGCTAGCTAACTCCAAACTCTTGTGCAGTCCCTGCATGCTTCTAAATTGTACTAAACGTCTTAGCAGAGAGGTTTCTTTAAGGCTATAAACTTTGCAAGTTGGTCCCATTAAACAAGGCAGGAGTTTTCAAATGACATGAGTCAAACCTTGCACATTTCAACAGAAGACAGATTTCTTTCACCTCTGAGTCTGAGATGAAGAAACAATTAGCTGGTTTCCAACTGGTTTCAACACTGGTTTGAAGCTTGAGTAATTTTATTGTGTAGACATAAATATTTTGTTTAAATATTAAACATTAAACCTTTTCCTGACATCCAGACAGAAATAGAGAGAGCAAGAACAATAGGCGAGAGAAGAGACAGTCTACTGAACAGACTTGTGACTTCTATGCCATCCACAGGAGGGATTTCAGCATGGGTTGCAAAAATGCCTGGAAGCTAGTTTCTAAAAATTCACCTCTACTTGGCATAAACCTTTCTTTTTTCCCCTACAAAGGGAGAAGAAACTCAGACAACGAAGACTGAAATGAGGTGTTCTGCTGTCGAAAAGGGCCAGCACACTCACCCCAGCTTACACAGACTGCTCTACAGCGCTGAAGGATTGCCAAGCCTTCAATTACAGGACCTGCCATGCTGAAGAGCTCTTCCTGAGAAATTAAAAACTTTAACCCTGGTTATTCCCAATGAACACCTTGAGCCTGGTTCGGGTACTAAAAGACTAAAGATATCCTGTTGGCAGGAGGCCATCTTCCATTAACTTCTAGGCTTATTGTACAACAGCTTAAGCACCAGACAATGAGCTATTTCAGTAACTCTCCTTAAGATGCTTGCCCATTGATTCTCAGCTAATTCATTGTTTTCAAAACCAACATTAAAAAAACTCAACTTGCTAATAGACATACAACCTTCCCTTTTTAAACTATCTATCAATGCTGGCTTTAGCTGACACTGCATGTCCTCAGGATTCATGAAAAGATACTTCTCTCACAGGCAGTTTACAGAAGGGTTCCCTCACACTTTTAATCAATTACTTAGTTAATTGAGGTGTAAACGTTACTGACCAACTGAGCTCATCAGTCATTAAAGGAGACCAGGGCTACTTACTGCTTGAGGAACACCGGCTACACAGACCTGGCGCCAACACGACTTTCCTTGCCTGGTCAGCTGCTCCGCGAGAGACCGAACCATTACTTTCTGCCCTCCTGCTCCCCAAGCCCAGTTCCCACTGCGAGCTCATACAGGACTTGGCTGGCAGGGTGCAGTGGCAATTAGGAGCATTCCTCTTTATAATCATCTTAAGAATGAATGGCTTCAGCAGTGTGACAGATGGTCACCATAACACATCCAGCGTCTATGGTTGTCTTTAAAGAGACTGTAACATTTCTTGGATAAGCCTGCTAGAAAACTGCATTTCCCTTGAGATAAGCTTCCTTGGCAAAAAGTTGAATTCAATAAATGGCTACCCACAATGACATTCCCACCCCAAATCACAGGTGGAGATATTACACCCGTTTCATAAAACTTTCAGGTCCCTCTCCTATACAGGCAGGCTATTACTGAACACAGGAGCCTTCTAGAACTTGCCAAGCTGGAGCAGAAACTGGTCTCTAGAGCTCCATCTCTTCCTCTGTGTTAGCAGTGGTCTCCAGACTATGGTAAAGTGGCGTGTCTGTGTGCTGGGGCTCCAGCAGCAGTTCAGTTCTCTGTGGAAAGGCAGTGCTGGCAGCTGCACACTTCCTTTGGCTCTCTCCTGCGTAGTTCTTAGGGTTACATGATGGCTTTGGTTTCTCAGGAAGGAGTTCAGGGAGAGGTTTCCAGAGCACAAGCTCCATAGAAGGTCGGCTCATGGACTCAATCATCTTCTTTGTGAAGACTTCATCAAATTCCCTCTTCAAACCCGTTTTCATGGTGTCAGAAAGGACAAGACTTGGGAGGTGGCTAACATTCCTGTCACTTTCAACCTCTTCATCTTCGTCAATTATCCTGTCCTCGATCTCCTGAAGCCTCACACTGTGGTTCTGCAGCCGTCTGATCCATCTCTTCACAGACAGCATCTAGCATGCTGGGCACAGGAAGGCCACCGGGACACGCGTTTACCCCATGACCGTCTATCCCCTGGTGTGTGTCAAGAACCCATTCGTTAGCAACTGCAGAGAATTCAGCTTCAGTCAATCGCTTCTTTCTTATTGGACACTCATCATCCTCCGCCAATCGCTTGTGTTTCTTTCTACAGTGAATGGAAACACGTCCACGCTGCTCTCCCGCCAGGGCTGCTGGGCGCAAGGTGGGCGCCCGGCCTCTGGGCCGGGTCAGGGCCGGTGGCTCCTGGTGGGAAGGCCCGGGCCGCGAAGGCCGGCGGCGGCTGCAGGAAGTCCGCCCCTGTATTATTTATTTTTTATTCATCAAAACTCTATATAAGCTAACATTATTGTTATCAATTAGACAGTACAGTTTAGGCAGGGATCATCTTCATGACAATCCACAAATAAAAATCCCCAGTAGATCAGGATGTTTCCATGAGATGAACACTACATTACAGGCAGTGGGGATCTCCCCACACACATTCACACCATGCCAAATACCAGAGAAAGACCACAGCAGCAAACCTGTAAAGGCACTGCAGGGGCAAAAGACATTCTGGGGTGTGTGGTCTTGAGGCCTTGACTAACCAAGACTGACCCATCCGAGAGTTTCCTCCTGATGAGCTGACACCTTGAAATTCAATTGCCACCTGCTGCTCCTCTGACATGGCCACCAGCAGGAAATGTTCCAGAACCTGCTTACTCACAGGGTGTGTGCTCTGCCTTTCACCTGCAGCCAGAGCTTGCCTGCTTGTCATAGATCTGACCTCTGCTACTGTAAGCTCCCCCAATACCTGCAAAGACCATTGTTTAAGATCCTGTTCTCCCCAGATCTTCTATCAGTCCCCAAAACGTTCCTATCTGACCCAGTGACAGTCTAAGCTCCTTTCCCATCCCTACTTTGGCTCTTCTCATCTCCACACTGGATGCCCTACTACCACAGATGGCCTGTGCCCTCACTGTCCTCACTTGGCCCCTGTCCCATGCTTCTTGTATGCCTGGCTCCTTCTGGATATGTCTGGGTCTGGCTGCTTCCCTGCCTCTCTGCTTCCACATTCCAAATGCCTACCTTGACATGTGGGGTTATGGGAATCCCAACCTAAAACGGTGCTGAGCATGCCAGTTCTCTTCAGGGGCCTAGGGACTGTGGGGATGTATCTTTGCAGTGGTTGAATATCTCCCTCACTCATTTCCCTCATGTACACATTGCCATACTAGTGACCCAATACCAGACCCAGGGCACACTGCAGATATGTTCATTGATTGGTAAGAAGCTGTAGGGGACACAGGTCTGCCATTCCAGAGTGGGGGATTAAAAACATAGAAAGATCATGTGTTTCAAACCAACCTTAGCTACAGAATCTCTGCCTCAAAGAAGACAGGCAGACCAAGGCGGGGGCTCAGTTAGTGGAGGGCTTTCCTAGGGCACACAAAGCCCTAAGCTCCATACCAGCACCATATAAACATTGTCTTGACATCCAGGCAGGAAGGAAGATCAGGACCTGCCGGTTAGCCTTAGCTTCTTGGAGAGTGGGAGACCAGCCTGACCTACAGGAGACATTGTTGAGAGAGACTGAGACAGAGAAAGATTCTGGCTTTGGAGACATAGGCAGGTAGACCCTGGCAGGAGAGCTGTCTTGAGAGATGGGTGACAGAGTGTGTGGCAGAGTGTAACTAAGGTGTCCTAGGTCATACTTGGAGGGGTGCTGTCTCCAGGGTACCTGATACCTAGGATGGCAAAAGTGGCCTCAGAAAGAAGAATGGCATGTTCTGAGTGCTGTTGGAGTTAGGGGAGGCTCAGCAGGAGCCTTCTCACACTCTTCTGGCTGGGGAGACAGAAGGCCACAGCAAGGCCAAGCTCCAGGGCTTGCTGGCAGCACCTCCTCTTCCCTCCTGCACACCTACATGTGGGTTCTAGGTTGTCATAAATGGTCACAAGCCAGGTGTCTTAAAACAGCAGGAATGGAATTTGCTGGTTCCGGAGGCCCAAAGTCCCAAATCCCAAAGATTCTAGGCAGGAGCTCCACCCCCTATCCACACCCCATGCTTCTCACTGGGAGATGCTAGGCAGGGGCTTCTTCATAGGCTCTGGGGGAAGGCTCCTTTCTGCCTCTTCCAGGATCTAAGACTTGGGTGGCCTGTGAGTCAGGTTACATCCCACCAGTCTCCATCTCTGAGTTCCTCCGAATTCCTGTGTTCTTTATTATGTCTTTATTGAGATCCTGATCCTGATTACCCCTCCTAGATTGAACTTCTAGACCCTCCTGCCTCGGCCTCTCCAGTGTGAGGTCAGGCTTGGGACTGTAGCTCAGTGGTAGAGTATTTGCCCAGTTTGTACAAGGTCCTGGGTTCTATTCCCAGTGCTGAATAAATCCCAGTAACTCACATGCCGTGAACACATGACTGTGCAATCATGCCAGCCTTGTGTCTTCTAAGATGGCCAGACAGTATATTTGGGGCTTGTTCTATCTAACTTCCTATGACATGTCCTCACCCCCTGGCTTCTGTTAAGACCCTATTCCAAGATAGCTTTATACTCTAAGGCTCCCAGCAGGTGTGGATCCCAGCAAGCAGTTGGTTAACTTCCACACTGGCCCATGGTGCCCTCCATGTGCTCATCAAGGAATGCAGCTGCTCAGCAGTGTCTGGGCCACTAGACACCCACAGTTCTCCTGGTGTTCCATGCTAGACTTTGCCTGGGGTCCAGTCAGCCCATGATGCATTCCTAGAGCCACCTACATTATTTATTTCCTTTTTACTTTGCAGTGTTGAGAATGGAAACCAGGACCTCCGGCATGGAAGGAAAGGGCTGTAGCCTTAGTCCAAGCCTACAGCCCCTCACTGGAAGATTCTAAGCAGGGGCTCCACCCTCTAGACACTACCAAAGCCCCTCAGTGGGAGATTCTAGGTAGGAACTCTACCCCTGGGCCACCCCCCACACTTTTATACCCTGATGCTCTGCACTGTCCACCTTCTTGGCTCAAATCCAGTAAGTACTAAGGTGTACCTCCCAAGTGAGGACACCATGTGACTGCCTAGACTTACCCATGCAGGCATACCATGCTGGCCCCAGACCTAAGTATCATCAGGCTGTAGTGTCCTCTCACAGCAGAACCTTTGCTGGAGGTGTCAGTCTGCGTTTTGTGTGCACTGTACATCAGCCCCTCAGTCGTGGCTAGTTCTTTATGTTTTGGGGTCGGGGTACAAACTCTCAAACTCTCTGATTTGGGATCCAGGATAAGAGGTTGGCTACCTATCCCAGGCAGTCGTAGGTTGTGTTTGTTTCATGCCCAGAACTTAGTTCTCAGTAAGTGGATTGAAAATGCATTCAACTTGCCCATTGCTGGCTTCCTGCTGAAGCCCACATTACCGCAGAAGTAAATACACCTGCCAGAGCCTGGTGTGCAGTGAGATACGGCATGGGGAGAGGTGCAGTGCAGGTGGTAATCTCTGGACAGCAGGAAGCCATCCCCACACCCCTAGGGAGCAGAAGGAACCACCAGCCTTGCTTGGATAAGCTTCCAGTAAAGGGGATTTGGAGGATGAGGTGTCATGCATGCTGGGCTGTGGGTGGCCCTCAGTCACCATAGCCCTGGCCTCCAGAGCCCACAAGTTCTTTCTCTGAGGCCCTGACTGAAGGGTTCACAACACGCCCCCCCACGGTCGCATATACCAGGCGGACACTTCCGCCTAGCCAATTCCAGGTCAGGATAGGCATTTCCTGATCAAAGCGTCTCTTGTAACCAGGATACCCGGGGCACCCGGACATCTCCACCTAGCAAGCTCCGGGCCAAGGTGTCTCGCGTGACCAGGATCCATGACGTTACATGGCCACGTAAGCGCGCAATGTGACCATGTGATCTACTCACAGGCGTGGAGTAGTGACGTGACCTGGCCACGCTCCCAGCCGGTTTTAAAGTGGAGTGCCATGCTTCCCAGTCCTTCTCCACACATGTGTCTCTCCCACAGGCCTGCGCACTCTCTGTCCCTTTAACTCTAATAAACTCTATAAGCGGATTCTGTCGTGTTTCGTGACATTTCCTTGCAGGGTAAGAACACAACGCAGCTAAATAACTAACACTGACCCTGCAGGAACCTGAAGAAACTCTGGAGCTGGCATTGTGAGCAGTGTGTGTCCTGCACGTGGAGGATGAGAGCTTGAAGGGGCTCAAGGGCTTGGAGGGCACTGGTGGCATGGACTGCCCCTTCTGCCTGGGCACACACAAGGTGGTGTTTATCCTCATCTCCAAGGATTACACATCAGTGGCACCTTCTGTCAGGCCGAGCAGATCCACATCCATGCACATTTAATGGAGCCCTGAGTATTTGATCCCCATACCTGTGGCCCTTTGAGCCCATGAGCCCTGCACCCTGAAACTCTGAGCCTGTGAGCCCCTTACCATGAGCCCCACACGCCATCCCCAGAAGTTC